CCCCCTTTTTTCTCCCTTAGAAACAGATCTGTCCACTTTATTAGGCATAGTGGCTTTGGCAACTGTCACAATGAGTGCCAGCTGCATGACATTTACTACTGCACTGCTGGGAAAGTGTATGTCTGCAAAAACAAGGGGGGGTTGTTGTGTTCCACATTTGTGCGTCTATTTCTGTGTTTGCTGGGAAGCAGTTTGGGCTCACGCTGCTCAGGCTTCACCCCCCCCTCGAAGGGTGTCCCGCGAGGTTTCTGTTCGCAACAGGAAGGAAGTACGTATACGGCTTGGCCGCCACTAATTTTGCCTGGTCCGGTTTGCGCCAATTCTTAAATCCAAAGCAGGAAGAGGTAAAGGAAAAATTACCCAAAACCCAGAATAGAAACCGTTGGCTTCCGCTTTGTGAGAAGCCTCTCATGATTAGGACTTGAAGGATCGCTGCCGTCTGCGGTGGCCACCGCCAGGGAGGTGCCTCTTCCCCTTTTTTATTCTTCTGACAAGCCCAGGGGGAATCCCAGGTCTGGTGCCCTCAGGGAGAAGACGAAAATGAAACAATAAAAAAAAACAACACAGCGCCAAATACTTCTAAAGAATCAGGAACCGGGTCGTGTTGGGGGGGTGTGTGTCACACCTCAAGAGTCTCTGCTTTGAGGAACTGCTGCTCAAGACAAAGCCCTCTTTCTCGGGGGTCCCGAGCCTGGGAGCCGTCGGTGGGTGTTCAAACAGGAACAGAGCCTTGACAGCCCTCATGAGGACTAGAAACGCGTCCGTGCAGCTGATGGATGTACGAACCTGTGCTTCTCTGATGGCTCACCATGGCCGTCTGGTAAATCCTAGGAAAGCAGATCCTTGCAAAATCCTACCCGTGCAAACCTCCCGATGCCTTCGGCTGATAACAGCCACGGGTGACCTTGTCTCCTCGGCTTCCTGCTCCTTCCCTCCCTCGTGAAGCGACACCTAAAAATGCTGGAGAGACAAGCATTTTTCTCGATTTATTTTTTTCCCAGCTGCTCTTCCCAGGCCACCTTCGCCCTCCCGGTCCCTGAATGGCCACCAGCCTCTTACCTTGAGACCTGGAATCAAAAGCAGCCGCGGAGGAAGCAACCCGGGGCCAAGCAGAACTTGCCAGTTTTTTTATTCTTGCAACTCATCTTCTGTGCGGCCCGAATTTTCCCACGGTTACATTCGCTCGCAGTGCTGGGGTTCCGCGCAGATCGATAGCAGAGCCTTGAATCCCCAAAGCGTAACCCAGAGAGCATCGATAAAATCAGAACCATGCAAAACAAGGCTCAAATACCCAGAGTTACCTACAGATGTTGGGGTGGATCGGGCCCATTGCTATATATTCGGCGATTCTTCCCCCTGCTCACCCAACCTTTCTAGCTGAGAATTCGCTTTTTAAAGGTGCGATTGTCAAATCGAGGACTCTGAAGGGTGACTCCGGTTGTCCTTACACAGTATATTCAACTGGGAAGTAACTGGATTACAAGTAATCTAGTTACCTATGACTAGTTGCTTTTGGCTAGCAATTGGTATAACTACTAAGTAAAGTTGTGCCACCTTTGGATTGCATCTGGCTGGCATGAATGAAGGAGGAGGAGAGATGCAATAAGAAACCCCCAATTACTTGGGAGTAACTAGCAATGCCTAGTTACTATTAAAGAACCTTGGAGGGGCATTCCCCCCCCCCCACGTTTTATGCTATTCTCTTTCTTGGCCTAAATGGCAAAGGGAGTGTTTGTTGATTCCATCTTTGGGATTTTTACAAAGATTTATTTATTTTTTTATTTATTTGTTCGATTTATATCCTGCCCATCTGGTATATTCTACCACTCAGATTCCCAAGGTGCAATGTCAAAAGTGGCCACTAGTAGGAATCGGAGAGCATTTCTGATGTACATTTTTCTGGACTGTGGGGGGATGACTAGGGAGGCGTCTTTTTTTTTTTCCTTCCCTTCTTCAGGTGGTGCATCCTGACCCGGCCTTCATTTGTGCAAGCTCCCACACCCAAATTCAGCTCTGGTGTGTAACTTCAGGGTTTGTTTGTTTTTTTAAAAAGAAGCACAGCGATTGGAGAGTCCTTGGACCTCATTGGGGGTTGGAGCTGTCAGTCACCTCCTCCCCCTTTGGGCACTGTCCTGACCGTCTTCCTTATAAGGTCTCCACGCTTTTGATTCCCCTTTCCTCACTTTTAACCCTATCCTGTTTCTCTTGGTTCACATTTATATCTCCCAGCTGCCGAATTCAAGACGCAGAATCCATGCAAGGTGCTTTTACTCCCTGGGACTCTTTACTCCCCACCTGGCGTTCCCCTTACAAATGCACATACAGGGACATTGGGCTGAATACGGCCCCATCTCCCGGGCAGTGGGAAAGCAATGCCGTGATAACTGAGGACAGAAATCGGAGTGGTTCCCAGCCGGGAGGTGGAATCTTCTCTCCCCCTTTACCCCCTAAGTATTGTTTTGGAGAACCACGGCCGGTGGTTGCTACATCAAGGAGCCGCAAGTCGGAAAAGTTTGCAAACCCCCCCCCCTCGTGCCAGAAAAATCGGTTCCTTCCTTTCCAGGGCCAGCTTTGGGAAGGGCCCCCCCCCCGCGTGGCCCACCCTGAGCCCGTCCTCGATTGATTCCCGGTCCCAGATCCAGAACCTCCTTGGCCAGCGGCCTGCAGCCGACCAGGCGGCTCCTGCCAGCCCCTCCCTTCCCAGGCCATTGTGCAACCTGACATGAGCCGGCGGCTGGCCCACAGGCTCTCCGCCTGGGCCGGTCATTCGTGAAGCAGCCGGGACTCCCTTGTTTTGCAACCTTCTAGCCACACAAGCGAAGTCTGTCCTCCTTCGCCCACATTTGTGCTCTCGCACTCCACCGTCTGTGTGTGGGGTGGCGCCTTTTGCTCTCCCCCCCCCTTATTTTTTTTTCTTTTCGGTCCAGCAGCTGCCTTTTCACTTCCCGGCTGTCTCGGCCTAAAAGCCGGAGGGGGAAGGAAAGAAAAGGAGGAGAGAGCCGTGAGGAATGTAACCAAGTCATGGAAACTTGGATCCAGTGTAATAACAATAAAGCGTTTGGATTTTGCCTTCCCGCTGCCATATTTATACTCCTGCTCTCCTCTCTCTCTCTCTCTCCTCAACCGAAAACTAAACTAAAAATACTTTCTGGAGGCCCCCCGTTTTTCTTGGTGGTTGGTGGAAAGGAACGCCAAGAGGAACTCTCTGTAATATTTGTTTTATAGTTTTACTTATTAAGGCACTGGTTTTATGGGACAGCAGACTGGGGCGAAGCCGAGAAGTTATCTGTATTTTTTTAAATTTTATTTATGGAAACACTTGTCCACGGCTGTTTATTTCAGCCGTTCCGGGAGGTCGTTTAGAAATGTTGCAGGGTTGCTTACAGTGAAAGACTGCAGAACGTGGACGATCTAGTAGTACAGTGGTTTCCCATAGACTCAACCGTGATAGAAGCATAAATCAGTAAATGATACCAATACAAGAGCAAGTGATACCGTTTATGAAGCCACTAAAAAGGAAGAAGAAGAAGAAGAAGAATAAATGATATCAATGCAAGAGCAAGTGATACCTTTTATGAAGCCACTAGAAGAAGAAGAAGAAGAAGAAACAGCTAGCTTTCGATGATCATCCAACTTCTTCAGGCTGTGCAACAAGTCCAATAAAATAAGTTACGCAAATCATTAGAGAAAAGCAAAAATCCATAAAACACGTCACACAAATCTTTAGAAAACAGGGTGTTTTCTCCTTCAATGCAAGAGCAAGTGATACCTTTTATGAAGCCACTAGAAGAAGAAGAAGAAGAAGAAACAGCTAGCTTTCGATGATCATCCAACTTCTTCAGGCTGTGCAACAAGTCCAATAAAATAAGTTACGCAAATCATTAGAGAAAAGCAAAAATCCATAAAACACGTCACACAAATCTTTAGAAAACAGGGTGTTTTCTCCTTAAAGCCGGCAGTTGAAATGCAGACAATAAACTGCTGACGGCACTTTTTAGTAAACTTCAGTCGATTTGGCAGTGGGTCTTGGGGAGGAGGGGGTTGTGACCAAAACGTCTCTCCCCCCCCTCAGCGTCTGTCCCGTTTTGTAATTAAGACTTGCCTCCATGACCCCGCCTGCTCTCATAATCTCGTTTCATAGCCCATGTGCTAAGTGTACGAGGATTTTAATGTGTAACAAACACGTGTGGGTGATTTCTTCCCGAGTTCCACCTTTCGGGAAAGTCGGAAATTAATTTCAATGGCAACCCTGCCTGCGAGATCTGGGTTAAATATTCCTGGCTCAACATGGGTGTCCTAGCTAGTTAGTAAGAATGTCCCACGGGTAGCTTTATACCTAATAAATGTGTATCAGCTTAAATGTATTATGTGGGAAGGGGAAAATCCTCATTTGACAATAAGGGGCTCAAATCCTCTTGCATTACTTACATTGGTGTCGGAGGAATGATGTCATTGCCGTGGCAGATGGTTGCTAATTAAGAAGGCACACCATGCTTCTGTGTCATTGCAACCCAGAATCCGAGCGGGGATTCTTCAATTAGCAGCAGCCACTAATTGAAGAATCTCTGTTTGGATTCTACGTTGCATGCAAAGCCACAGATTCCAGGGTATGGTGATCTGCCCCTGTGGCGATGCCATTTCTCCCATGTCCGTGTAAATTAAGCAAGAGGATGTTTACTTGAAACCTGGTTTACCAATTTTTTGTCTTTGGGTAGTATGGGTATGAATGAAAATGGCTATTTGGAGAGAGGGCATTAACAGTAGGAATTAGCAAGTCAAGATGGACCTGGAAGTTGAATCCAGAATGAGGCAGATCTTTTCTCTGACTCCTTTCGACTCGTCTCTGCTTCGTTAATTTAGCCACTTAGATTTAAAAGCACCGTTCTTTCCCAGTTGTAACGCATTGGACGGTCATGGGTCCCCTCGTGGCAAGGAGCGCTGACACAGGTTTCCCCCATCCGGGCCGACGGCTGACCCGTCTTTTCCACCTTGCGTTCTAGGAATGCCAAGAAGGAAGGGGACCTTTTGGCCGCCCAGTCCCGCCTCAAGGATCTCGAGGCCCTGCTGAACTCTAAGGAAGCCGCCCTGACCACGGCCTTGGGGGAGAAGCGCAACCTGGAAAATGAAGTCCGTGACCTTCGAGGCCAGGTGGCCAAGGTGGGTAAACTGAGAAATCGCCTCCGCCGGGTTTGCCACTGATGGTGGAAGAGCAGGGGCCCCAGTGGGGTCTTTCTCGCGGTCTCCTTGCTCATCCCCTGGACCTCAGTCCAGTTGGGGAGGGGAATCTCTCACAAAGAAGTGGTGACTTGGTGGTCCACCTTCTTGTAGGGTTGGGTTGGTGGCCCACCATGGTGTAGCGTTGGGTTGACTTGACTTGAGGGTCCAACCTTTTTATTTGGTTGAGTTCAGTTGACTTGACTTGACTTGACTTGATGACATGGTGGTCCACCTTGTTATTTGGTTGAGTTGAGTTGAGTTATCTTGACTTGATGGTCCATCTTTTTATTTGGTTGAGTTGTGTTGTGTTTTGTTGTCTTGACTTGACTTGATGACTTGATGTGGTGGTCCACCTTATTATTTAGTTGAGTTGAGTTGTCTTGACTTGATGACTTGACAGTCTACCTTTTTATTTGGTTGTGTTGTGTTGTGTTGTCTTCACTTGACTTGATGACGTGATGTGGTGGTCCACCTTGTTATTTAGTTGAGTTGTCTTGACTTAATGACTTGACGGTCCATCTTTTTATTTAGTTGAGTTGAGTTGTCTTGACTTGACTTGATGACGTGACGTGGTGGTCCACCTTGTTCTTTGGTTGGGTTAGGTAGAGTGGGATTGAGTTGATGCAGCCAGCATTCACATCAGTCTCCACCACTGCTTTTTGTGTGTGCCTGATAGAGCAGATTTTTTTTTTATCTCCAGTATTTGCACAGAGGTGTGTGGCTTTTTCAGTTGTCGTGATCAAGGTGTCAACAGCAGTGTGCCTTTCGGATTGGTTTTATGGACAGTGTGGCTGTTCCCTCCTGTTTTGTGGTCATGTTGTTGTTGTTTAGTCGTTTAGTTATGTGTGGCTTTTTCAGTTGTCATGATCAAGGTGTCAACAACAGTGTGCCTTTCGGGATTGGTTTTACGACCAGTGTGGCTGTTCCCCCCTGTTTTGTGGTCATAGGAATATTGTTGTTGTTTAGTCGTTTAGTTGTGTCCGACTCTTTGTGACCCCATAGACCAGAGCACGCCGGGCCCTCCTGTCTTCCACGGCCTCCCGGAGTTTGGCCAAATGATCATAGGAAACCTGTTGTCGTTTAAGGAAAAGGAAAAATAGCCAAAAGGACCAGCAGGGGGCAGCAAAAACCCATTGCCCAAATCAAGCAGACTTTAAAAAATTGAAGCATCGTTTCTGGTTTGTTCGTTTGGAGTTTTTTGTTTGTGTGTGTGCATGTTTTTTTAAAGATATTTTTAAAAACTGAAAGAAAGCACCCACTGCCCAAATCAAGCAGACTAAAAAATTGAAGCATCTTTTCTGGCTTGTTCGTTTGGAATTTTGTGTGTGTGTGTGTGTGTGCATGGTTTTTTTAAAGATATTTTTAAAAACTGAAAGAAAGCATGTGATGCAAGTTTAGATCACAAGAGGAGAAAAATTTGACTCGGCACATAAAACTGCAGGATGTCCAGGCATGGTGCTTGGGAATCATCTGTCTCGGGTCCAGCCAGAACATCTCCGGGCTGCCTACAATGTGGGAGGGTGGCTGTTCTGTCCCACCACCACCCCACACCCCCGTGATGAATGACCTTCCCTTCTCTTTCCAATCCCCCCCAGCTGGAAGCCGCCATGGCCGAGAACAAGAAGCAGCTTCAGGACGAGATGCTGCGCCGGGTGGACGCTGAGAACCGTCTCCAGACCTTGAAGGAGGAGCTGGAGTTCCAGAAGAACATCTACAGCGAGGTGAGCAGGGAAAGGAAGGGCAAAGGGGCCACCTTCTGTGGCCTCCCAGCTGTGGCCTCCCAGCTGTGGCCGCCTGGGCAGGCTCGCCGGCCGGCCAGACCTAGACGCCGATCCCGAAACCTTCCTAGGCGGCCCTCCACCTTCCCGTCCTGTTAACCGGTTGTGCCAAAGGCTAGGCTGCCGGATTCCCTAGGAAGCTTCGCCCGTAGGGAATGGCACTCTGCCCGTGCCCAGAGGCAAGTGGTTTCTGGCAGTCAGAATACAGGCAAACCATTCATTCTGACCTCTGCGGGAGGGTTGGGGAGAAATGCAGTCCTGCTTCCAAAGGTCTCCAGCCACCCCATGGGCTCTCTCCATACAACCTATTTAGAAAGAAAGAAAGACATTCAGTTCCCTTTTCGCTTAAAAAAAGCAATTTTTGCAAGGAAAAATGGTGGGTGGGGCAGCGGGGAAAGTTGAGGAGTGGAGCACCCCACGTTCAAAGACCAGGGCTCCGTCTTCCCGGCTTCTAGCCTCTGCCCCCAGAGGTGTTGAGGTCCCGACTGGCGCCTTTGCCCCCCTCCGACTCCGGTTCCTTCTGCTTCCCTCCCCGCAGGAACTCCGCGAGACCAAGCGCCGCCACGAGACCCGCCTGGTGGAGATCGACAACGGCCGCCAGCGGGATTTTGAGAACAAGCTGGCCGACGCCCTGCAGGACCTGAGAGGCCAGCACGAGGCCCAGATCCGGCTCTACAAAGAGGAACTGGAGAAGACCTACAGCGCCAAGGTGAAAAAACAACAACCAA